CATGACTCCTCTTAATGAATGAGAAGATTATCTTTCAGATTATAGTCATCATAATTTTTCTTATGGCAAATACAGGTAAGCAGCATGATTTAGTTGTATTTATCTTTACTTTTCCTATAATTTAAATTACTAACAAACACTAGGGCTGGATATAGCATTTATAAGAGAAAACATTATGTGGTAAGTTTCTTGACAATGGTCTTAGTTATTTGTTTGGGGACTCATACCCAAAAGCAAAAGGAGACAAAACCTAAATAAACAGATATAACTAAACCAAGCTAAAAAGGTTCTTTCTACACAGAAAAAGAAACTACTTCAAAATGAAAAGATACCCTACTGAATATACTGATAGGGAGGATGCATTTGTGCACATCATATATCTGACAAAGATTAATCTACAAAATATAAAATCTCAGAAAACCCAACAACATAAAGCAAATGACCTAATTAAAAAAAAAAAAAATGGGTAGAGGAGTCCTCCATGGTGGTGCAATGGGTAAGGAAGCAGCACTGTAAGCTAGCCACAGCCACTTCAGAGCCAGTTCAATACCTGGCCCCAGAGGTGACGCATATGGTGAGGCAGACCTCTCCTGACCCACCTGCTGCTTCCCTCAGCAGTGTACTTCATTAACTTGCCTGTTCTGCTCCCCACTCTGTCTCTGGTGAGTCCTCTCACCATCCCTGCACCTCTGGCTTATACACGAGTTCTGTATGCATAAATAAAAATATTATTTTAAAATGGCTAGAACATATGATTGAGAGTAGGTTGGTTTATATCAACCTTATTTCAACAGGAGAAAGGAAGAAAAGAATGTGGGAGGAAAGAAGGAAAGTTAAAGAATCCATAACTATACAACAATTGCCCTTCAGTGATGCCTAAAGAATCATTTCCTTAGGATTGCTCTCTGGGTCTATTATAGTCCCTAAACACATATCCTAAACACAGAATAACTAATGATCTACTATGGACAGGGATATTATGATCCAGGTTCTCCAAGTTTTTGTTTTGCTTTGTTTTGTTTTCTCCTCAGTTAATTTAGCATGTATTCTATTACTACAACAGAACTCCAAAAGAAGTTTCTGGAGCTGAGCCTATGGAACCCAGAGGGCAAAGACTCTTTAAGTCCTGTTGCTGCTAGTTAGGAATTGACAATAAGTGGCAGAGGATTAACACTACTGAGCTCTGATCCCCCACCTAAGTGCCCTCAGGATGAAGGTACATTGAGCAAGTCTGCAGTGATCATCGACAGCAGCTCTGATGACAGAGAAGAGTCCAAAAGCCATTCCCTTTGCAAGGCCCTAAATGGCCACTCTGCTTTGCCCTCTCCCTGCAGCCCTCTAGATTGGTATCAGAGCAGGGTTCAGACCACAGTTCTCATGCAACAGCCCCAGTCAAATGAGACAGTGTTACTAAGTCAAGCAGTGGAGACTGGGTTGGTCCCTCATCCTGTCAAGAAAAGCAAAGAAATCTGTGTCCAGCCCTGAAGGCCACATCCATTGTCCCTCCATAATTACCTCAAAAAGGGCTTAGCTGTACCAGGCCGCTCTAGTAGGATCTATGGCAATCCCCCAGGGAACATTCAGCATTCAGATTGTCTTCAAGTAAGTTCCTTTACTGGAAGCATGAGAGAAAATCTAGACATTTCTGACATTGAGAAAAAATTACGTCCATTTTTCTTTCAAAGGCATCCCTCTCAGAGGACAAGGACATGAGTGGGAAGAACACAAGGGACTATGGTGCATGGGTGAATTGGTGGTGGGAATTTCATGGAGAAACCATACATTGTTCAAAAATGAAGGATGATGTAATGATTATATTTAAAAAAATCCTTCTCAACATAAAACTTCAATAAGATTGATATTTAGGAATACTTATGCAACACTTTTAATACATATTTATATCCAACTTATATGGGGGAATATAGTTGTTCGAGATACAATTTCATAGATACGATAGTAACTAGATACTTTAGTAGAAACTTTCGAGTAGTCTATGAAGATTATATATATATATATGTATACACACACACACACACACACACACACACACCATGGATATCATGATGAGTAACATCATCATAAATTGTATCACCCCATCTTAAATTATATCATTATATCATTTCTCACTGGTAGACTTCGCTATGTTAGTACTGAATTAGTGGCAGTGCCAATTCTCAGCTTAGCATTCAAAGAGAATTGTCCCATGCTTGCACTTTAACTTGAGTTGCTGCTGATTTAATTATGATGCAATAATGAGCTTTCTCACTGAGAGGAGTCACTGATAACTACACCCTCTCCCGTACACTTCTCTCACTGAACTCACCACCAAAGCATACAAAAATAGTTTATTTTCTTAAAAGAAACAGCAAGGAATTTTCAGAGCAAATTTCCTTTTTCTGTGACTAATAGCCTATCAAAATTAATGTTTATGTAATAAAGTGAATATCTTTAAATCTGCAGGACACTAAGTGGGCCATTTTCATGCCTACAGGCTACTTCCACATCTTTTTGAGGTATAAATAATGACAACTGTCCCAAATCAGCTGAGTACATATTTACAAAATATGCTTTTAATCAGCTCCCACAGAAATAGTTTTACTTAAATGATGCATTATAAGTTCTGAGGCACAGTGGTAAGTAATCTGTTAATCAGGCAACTAGACTCTCCTAACAAGTTATGTTCATTTTCCTTTAAAGACTACAGAGTCTTAAGATCAAGAGACATCTCCTTTCACTTTTTATAGTCAAATGTATCATATTGCTTAGCAAAGTGCTAATTAGATATTTTTAATAATTCTAACTTGACTTTTCGGATGTACCTACACCAAAAGAGAAAAAAGGTTGTGTTCTCATTCTAATTTTCTTATACTCCTGTTCACCAATACGAGGCAAGAAAAATAATAAGATATGACTTCAGTTATATTCAATAAAACTCATTCATATTGTTACCCTGTAATAAGTATTCAATATTTATGAAAAATAAATAAGAGAAAAGAAAATATAAACAAATGACATTGTATCTAAAAAGCTTCTGTACAGTGAAAGAAACTATCAGTAAAACAAAAGATACACTACTGAACAGGAAAAAAATATTTACACATTTACATCCTAAAAAAGGCTGGTGTCCAATATATAAAAAGAATTCATGCGATTCAACAATAAGAAAACAATTAACCCTGTCAAAATTTCAACAGAGGAGCTAAATAGACATTTCTCCGAAAAGATAGACATGACAAAATAGGCACACAGAAAAAACACTCATCATCAATTAACATCAGGGAAATGCAAATCAAAACCATAATTAGATACCATCTCACATAATGGTAACAGCCCATATCAAAAAGATCAGAAGCAACATGTTTTGGTCAGGGTGTGGTGAAAAAGAAACCCTCCCACATCTGATGGTGGTGATAAAGATGGGTGCAGCCCCCATCGAAAACAGTATAAAGATTCCTCAAAATGCAAGTAATAGTTCCCCATATGTACCAGTAATTTCATGCCTTGACATCTACCAAAAAAATGCAAAAAAAAAAATACTAATTCAAAGCAATGCATGCACATCCTTGTTCAAAAACACTATTTACTATAGTAATGCTGTGGAAATAGTCTAAGTGCAAAAGAATATAGGAATCAATTAGAAAAATGTGGCATATGTCCATAGTGGACTATTACTTAGCTATAAAAAAGGCAAAATTGTTGTCATTTGTGGAAATGAAGATGGAACTAGACTATGTTAAATGAAGTCAGAATTAGAATGACTTTCTAGATGGTTTCACTTGTATATGGAATATAGATAAAGAAAGAGTTAGGCAAAACCACATTAGTAATGATTCATTGATAACTACAAAATGGAGGCAACAGGAATGGGATGGTGGAGGATTTGGAGGGTTGGGATTTTGGACTGGACAGGGATTAATGGATTATACTGAAAGGTTATTGGGATTTGAATAGTGGTATGGTGTGAAAACATGTATTTCCAGATGTTTAAATTTATAACCTCTAAAACAAATGCAGTTTTATAAACCAACATTTATCTCAATAAACACAACTGGAAAAGAATAAGCACAGTTTCAGCCCTCTGGAAATGTGTAAACTAATGTTCTGAAACTACATGTTCTATTCTAATAAATCCATGAATCCATGTGACTCAGTGTTTGCAGAAATGTTTGTCTTTTAACTTTGATTAGATCAATTGTCAAACCTGCCAATTCTAAAATAATAATAATAATAATAACTTATTTTTCCCCCAATTTCCAACGAACATAAAATGCTCATGGATTAACATTCCAGGCTCCCAAACCCCTACTTTTATTTGGAAAATTTTATTCTATCGCTTTTTCTTACTCTTGAATGCAATTTGATTAGATAATACAACAGCACCCATATGGCAAGCAAAGACCAATGAATGAGAGGAAAAATAAAGACTGAGGAAATTTATGAACATGATAATTTTGTACTACCACGTATTTTTATTATTTATATCATTTCCTGAACTTGTTAACTACATCATTAGAGTAAGCATAGCAAGACGGGGGAGGTATTCTTCAACAATATTTTCTTAAAGTACATATGAATTATGTAGCATTTCATGTTTCAGTATGCTGTTCATAATTTCAAGATCAAGTTTTAAGAAAAACATTTCCTCTATACTCTTAATTTCTTATAACATTCATCCAATGTCTATGGGGGGGGGAGACAAAATTCAGCTGATCTATTCAGTGTCATATGTTATGAAAAATACATTTTGTGGACTCTAAAATATTTACGACTAAACATAGTTGAAATATAAGTAAACCTAAAGAATCCTTATGTTTTAACTTTCAGAACTTTATTCAGTTTGTAGGAACAAATTCTGAGCATTGTGAATTTTCCGGAATTTTGACTCCAGCACTCCAACAATATTCTTTCACTTTTGAAATTTATAGTTTTCCTGGAATGTCAGTCATTTTCATGGTTTTTCAGTTCATTTTCAAGTCACATTGTTCCTGTTTTATTTATTATTATGCATTTTTCCAATCAGCTGATTGGTTGCTTCTTTCCTGAAGCCTTTTATTCCAGTCCTCAAGGATCTTTGCCTCTTCCAGAAGGGCTATCTCTTCCTCTTGAAGAGCACTGTTTTCTTCTCTAAGTGCCTTGTTTTCCTCACGAAGGGCCTCTTCCTCCTTCCAGAGAGCCTGTTCCTCCAACTCTAAAGCTATCCCTTTTTTCATCAGAGCTTGTTCCTCCATCTTGATTGCTCTCTCTTGATGTTGCAGAGCCTTCATCTCTTCATAGAGAGACCTTATTTCTTCTTGAAGAGCTTTTGCCTCTTTCTGGAAGGCTTTTTCCTGTTCCCTGATAGCCTCAATTTGAGTTTCTAGGAGATGATCATGTAGCCAGTAAGAATTTCTTTCTGTGTTCAAGGTACTGATTTTTCCTCCAGGTGGACATAGGCTTTCTAAAATCACACTTTTAAACTTCCATAGGACCTGCGTTTGCTGTCTCAGGAATTGATTCCGCTCCCTGATTAATTGGTTGTCCATCCGGAAGGCTTTGTTTTCTTCTCGAAGGGCTTTGTTTTCTTCCCAGAGGAACTTGTTTTCTTTTCTAAGTGCCTTATTTTCATCCCGAGTCACCTTATTTTCTTTCAGAAGATCTTCTCTCAAATCATGAGATTCATGGTTAAGTTCATTTTGGTCTTGGGAGCGAGAGAACAAAGAGGAGAACAAGTGCAATAACTTCCCTGTATTTATCCACTTTGACTCAGAGACAATCATTGTTTCTTAGTTATTTTATCTCAGCAACTTAACTATATTTCAGCTGTTTTGGGGTTTACCAAAGGTGGGCTAATATTATTTGCAACATAAAGGTCAGCGATTTGAGAATTCTTTCCATATATAATTGTTGTGTTGATTTACACAAGGAGCTCTATGGCAAGGATCTAAACAAGGCTTAGTCAGGCTCACTGTAGAAGAAAACTGAAAATATGAAGTCAATAAATTAGCTATTAGGTTGATACAATAAACAGAGTAAGTTTAAGTCTTAGCATATGCAAATTGCACATATTACATATTTATGAAGGCTAATGCATCAAATTGTTTGTGTTAAAATGAGTTAAGCTTTGAGCTAAACTACTTCTAGGAAACTATTAATATTCCAGCATGTTCATTACTTACAATTAAGTCACTTGTTATTGATGTGGACAAAAATACCATGAATTTAAAACAGATTTCTGGTTTGAAAGAACAAAGAACCATACTTTTTTAATGCAGTATATTTTATTGAGGTAATGTTAGTTTATGGCATTGTATATTACTTAGGGTATACATTTACATCTCTTCAGATGTATGTTACCACTCCACACTCACTACCAACGCACAGTAACCTCCCATCATACTGCTTTGGGATCCCTGCCCTCCATCTCTTGTAACCTTGAAAAAATCATTTTTAAAACAAGTTACAAACTACAATTTTTAACATTTTTACTTCGATATTTAGTAGTGTTATTATATTTTAAATATGCATTGACACTTACATTTCTGTGGCCTCTGAATTACCTGCAAGCCTGATTTCTCCTAGTGCTAGAAAACAGCTAGGTATTTGTGTCATCTATAGTGATGTCAACAATGTCAACTTTGATGAGTCAATGGGTGCTGTATGTAGCATTGAACTGGCTTATTTTTCTATATATTTCAGGAAAAAAAATATTAGTTTTAAAAGCAAGGTTATACTTGATGTTTTTCTGTATTAAAAAAAATATTTAGTCCTTGTCTTCATCTACATTATTAAGGTTAACTTAAAATATCTAAGCTTTGTTATTAGTAAAACAACTTCTACTCTTAGGAATTAAGTAAAAAAAAAAATACTATACAAAGATAAAATTACATTAAAATGTTTTTAAGATCATTGCTGAATAACTGACATTAGGTAAATACACATTATGCCAAGGAAATAACTCTGGCACTATTCTAATTACAGTCATATGTAAGTTTGGTAAGGGGAAGGATGTCCTAAAGGAACTCTGCAGTTTTGTGGACTCCACTCCCTACTCCAGTGATTGGAAATTACAACTGCAAAGAGAGAACTGCGAAGACCCAAAGGCAGAGCTTAAGCAAGCTTTCTGGGACTTTGGGGGATAAATAGGGAGTGATTTTCAATGGCTGGGGCAACATCTCTCTCTCTCTCTTTCTCTTTCTCTCTCTCTCTCTCTC